TAGAGAAAAGAGAATGACAATTGTCCAGGCAGAATAACAAGAAAAGTCAGGGATTGTCTTCATTATTGACTCATTTTCATGGCCTGAAGCAATACTGGCTGTTTTTGAAGGTGATTTTTCTTTAAAGGGTTGTTTTAATGGGCAATGTAACATCAAACGTGGCTGCAAAGTTTGCATTTTTCCCTCCAGACCTCCAACATATGATGTTTACAAAGATGAGATGGCAAGTATATTTGCAGCGGATTAACAGCTGATAAGAATGTAGATGTTCACGTATTGGAAACAAAAGTTGGTAATAAAATTGTGGCTACCTTCTGGAAACATCCTTTTGGGAGTTTACGCTTTTGTATTCCCATGGTAATGCTGCTGATTTGGGCCAAATGCAAGAGCTTTTCATTGAGCTCAGAGCTCACCTTCGTGTTAATATCATGGGGTCCGTTTTTCCTCTTGATCATTGTATTTGCCTTATCCAACATGCCTTCTTGTCTATGAGTTAGTTTAGAGTAATTGTTTTGTGGGTATGATTCCTTTCTTTTCTGATGTCAGCTTTGGGTGCTATAAAGTTTTGATTTTGATGCATTTTCTTGGTTGTGTAAACTTTCTTCCTGATACATGTACACAGGTCCTCTCGAACGTGTTCATTTTACTGGGGAAATTACATTGGGACATTTCATTTTTCTACCTTGATTTCTGCTGAACTGAACTTCTACAAGTAGTTGCTATATTTTGCTATTTTGGGTTAAATTTTTCAATTAGGGGCCTGTGAGTTTTATATATAGAGGTGTTGTGATTATAATCATCAGACAAGCCTAGCTTATATACTTGCAAGAATTTAGTTTCAAGACATTATTTGCACTGCTGTTTCTGCATTTAGTATGACAGTTTTATTTGTCTATTTCCGCAGTTCATTGAGGTTGTGGATTTTTTTTTTTTTGGCTTTAGCAATTGAAATTCTACTTGTTTTCCTCCATTTACTGCCAAAAGCTTTTTGAAAGTTATTTTGGTCTGATGCTCGGTTAAACATAGCTAAGTTAAATTTTTGTGAATATCTTGTATCTTTTTTTTTTTTTTTTTTGGAACTATCCTATAGATTTTCAATCTAGCATCATTTCCTTTTACTAAGATGAAAGTTTTATACTAGTCCTCTTCCTCAAGTTACTGAATTTTCATTTCTTTCTATTATGGCAGCTATGATTATTCAGGATATGGAGCTTCCTCTGGTAAGGTGAGAAAACATGAGACTGTTTGTATTGAATCCTGCCGTACAGAAACTATGTATTTTATTCCTAATAGTTGACCTTTGCTTGGGCAGCCATCTGAGTTCAACACATACTATGACATAGAGGCTGTATTCGATTGTTTGAAGAATGAATATGGAATAAAGCAGGAGGATATCATCTTATATGGCCAATCTGTTGGGAGTGGTCCAACACTACATTTGGCTTCTCGTCAGCATAGGTTGCGAGCGGTTGTTCTGCATAGTGCTATCCTTTCAGGAATTCGAGTATTGTACAACGTAAAGATGACATTTTGGTTTGACATATTCAAAGTAAGTATTCTCCTCTTGCAGTTATCATGTTTCTCCACTTTTCCCAAATTTACATTACTCTGTCTTTTAGTCAGTTTGATGCTGATGGTATTCACCCTTTGTTCTTTTGCTTTTCATTTGTTTTCTCGCAGAATATAGACAAGATAAGGAATGTCAGCTGCCCAGTCTTAGTTATACATGTAAGAAGTGCCTCCTCTTTTGTCTCTTCATTCCTTCTCTTAGATATAATTTGAGTGCATCAATTATTATGGATTGTTTGTTGCTCCCTTGCTGGTAAGTTGTAGCAAAATCTTCAGCAAATGTTGTGCAGAAATCAAATTGCCAAACCATATGTAATCTTACCTTTTTTTCTAACTATTATCACTTGTATATGTGTGTGGACTACGAGAGAGAAAATACTTATGGGCTACCAATGCTACTGAAGTCTGACAGCTATAAGTAACAAGAGAAAAATAACATATTTTCTATATATTCCTATCTCGTATTTTAGCAAGAAGATTCGGTATTAGTAGAGCTATACTCTCTTAGTTATATAGGCTAAAGAGAATAACAACAAATGTGACTGTACTGTTGTATCCTAAGATGATAAGTTGGACATCTTGCTACACCGTAATTTATTTTTCGGCGGACGATTGAATCATTTTAAAACAAAAACGAGATATCTGTTCTTCAAACCACCGCATTTGTGCACTCTTATATCTTTATTATTATTATTGTTTTATTATTCCTATGTAGTATTAGCTCTTTTTATTCTAGCGGAACAACAGTGTGTATGTATGTGTATATAAATATACATAAACAGATACATATCCTTGGTTGGGCAATTCAATCTTGCTGTTAACCTTTTGGCCATAATCCACCAAGGAAACTATTAATTGGTTTCAATATTTTTCTTGGGGTCTATCTACGTCTCCAAAAAAAAAAGAATATATAATGCAAGTAAAATCAATAAAGAGTAGTTTGTTTATCATTATTCGATGAATTGTAAAGAATCTCCATTGACAATCATACCACAGCGACTGTTACTTGTAGTCTAGAACATTCGGACAAGAAGTAAGAGGAGAAAGAAGGATAATAATAAAGAAGGGTCTGTAAAAAAGGGCTCTTTGCCACACAACTATCTCTGTTGGAGAAATTACAGAGTCAAGAAACTAGAGGTATAACAAGAACTTAACCAAGATTATGCTCAGAATTGTCAAAGTTTTATTAATTTAGTATATAGCTTCACGAATATATGCAAAGTAGCACGGTTATATTCTGAGATTGTTGATGATCTTTATATGCTAGTTGCCAGTTTCCCATGAAATTTTACATTTTAGATACCTACTAAACACAGCTAATCATTATTTGGTGTGTATAGATAGTCGAGTGAACTTTCTTGTAGGTACAATTGCGTGTAAGAAGCCAATCACATTTAAGTGCAAGCAAATCAAACATCATATTTGTCATGCGACTTAAGGTAGACTTCAAGAGTTTGCCAAATTTAAGTTAGGAAGAAGTAAATAATTTTGCAGCAAAAACATACTCCTTATTGAGCATTGCAAGATGTAATTTGAGCCTCGAAGCACTTAAGGTTCTAATAATTACTTGCAGATTGTAAATAGTTTAGATTCTATCAATTGTTTGTCATCGATATCTCTGCAAACTATTCTAAATATTACAGGTTTTAGGAGATGGAAACTTATATCCGTTTATGGCTTTCTTGTTAGATGCTTTTTTGCTTCCACCTAGCAGTGAAAGGATTTCAGAGAAGAAAATTGGTGCATTTTTAATTAGGAAAGATGGTCACATTATTAATTTACATTTATATGTGTGTGTACGTATATAAGGATGATGCAACTTCCATAAATTGAACTCCTTTCTTATTTGCAAATATAGGTTTTTTTAAAAAAATTTATTTGCTATTGTAGGTTATCACTTCTTATGTAAATTAAACTTACTCTAAATGTTGTCCAAAAATGCATTCACGCCTAGTGCACTTTTAGCTTGCCTGCTTTGTTTCCTTTGACCTACAAAAATTAGCATCACTCATCAAAACAATTAATACATGAGACGTTTATTAGCAACAGTGAAAGTAAACAAAATTGACCAACCCCCCTATGTATAGAATTCAGCATATGCTAATACCTCTGCTCTTCTTATACGTAATATCCATTCGACTTTCCCTGAATACCACACAATAAGAACTTGGTAATTTCCCCAACTCCAGATCATGACAAAGTTCAAAGTTTGAGTACACTCATAAAATGATCTCAAAATTAAATAGTTTCATCGCGTAATGTGTAGAAATGATTTGAAACCTCTGGGCAGATATCTAATCGTGTAGAACATGTGGGATTTCGTCTATAACTTGAAAAAGTAATGAACTATATGTAAACTTATCATGCAGGACAGAAGCAATTTTAACCGTAAAACTGGTATCATTCATTGTAGCAATGTACTCTACCATAAATATTACTACCACATTAATTTGCTTACAACTGTTTCAATGGTTATGAATTTGTCTGTTGTCAGTTGTTGCCGTATATGAAGGTGTTGGAAACCAGCCAGACTTTCCTCGAATTTAGGAGGACAAAACACAGGACCGTGGCAGTAATAAAGGGGAAAATATTGCAAAACCAGGGCTTTTTTTCTTTTTTTTTTTTTGACGTTTGAATGGATTCAAAGACCAGAAATTAACGCGACAAATGTGTGGGAGCTAGTGACCTTAAATATGTGCCTAGTTTTCATCTCTCAAATTTCTGAAGCTCCCCTTTTCCCCATTCCTTCCCTTTGGGAGTTTCGGTATCATTTTTTTCTCCTTCGGGAAATGATTGTTTCTTCCATCTGAAGCTCAGAATTCAAGTAAATTTTCGCACAATCTTTCTTTTTCTTTCCTTCCTTTTTGTTGCATGTTGTTTTCTCTTTGATCTTTGACATTAATAATAGAAATGTTCTTTGATTTATTTGTCACGTTCATCGTTTTTGTCGAATGTTAATATTACTTGAACATAGGACCAATGCGATGTGAATTTACTGTTGTCCTCGAAATCCCTGTTTTGTGGACACTGTTTATCTTGATTTAGCCATCTTACGTTATGCAAATATTTAATGCAACTCCAAAACCATAAGTAGAAGAAAGGGGGCGTTTAAATTTTCTTGATCTTTATTGTTCTGGAGAGACAGAAATTAATACTGTTATCTTCTAAATCAAAAGGAAACATCCATGAAATGTTTTGGCAACACGCATTCGACATTTAAAAAATAATTGCAACAGAGTCGGCCATTATCTGAACCGGGAGAAAATCAGAACATAGTTAAATAAGGAAAAAGGCTAAAGCAGGATCAAATCTGAAGGCAATTTGGTTTCACAACTTCTGGTAAATTCATCTTTGAAAGCCAGTATTCTGTTTTCCAAAGTTTTTGCTGGTACATAAATCTGTGCTTGTACGTGTTTCTGTGTCTGTTCTGCATGCCCGTGCGAAAATCTGATAGTTTGCCATTTATGAAATCAACCAGGCTGACAGGATTGGAAGAAAATGATCAGGCAACTGTTATTGTCTTTCTTGTTGATCCAAACCACTCTAGTGGCTGCCAGAGGCAGGGGAAGACGCCACCCTGCTGTTGTTCCCCCTCCTGCAAAAAAGTGGCTAACTCTAAATGGTAATGTATTATAACATTGAGTTGTATTCAATTTCCTGCTTAAAGGAAGCGAATGATCTCAATGCTTTAGTCCAATTATAAGTTTGTATGCCCTTTTCTGATTTGACTCTTTGCAGGAGGTGAGCCTGTGGTAGTAGCCAGGGGTGGATTCTCTGGAATTGCACCAGAGTCCAGTTTACCCGCTTATTCTACGGCACAGCAGACGAGCTTGGCTAGCACGATCTTACTCTGTGATCTCCAACTTACAAAGGATGCACAGGGCTTTTGCCAGTCTAGTCTGAACCTTCAAAATGCAACAACTATTGCTACAGCTTTTCCAGACTTGAAACCAAGAACCTACAACATAAACGGAAAGAATGTGGAAGGATTCTATGGGGTGGATTTTTTGGCAGATGATCTACTCAAAAACGTTTTCTGTAAGTTGTCAGACGGTTATACAGAGCTTCAGTTTCCTTTCTCAGTTTGTAGAGTACTATCATCTGGTTACAATTAAGAACAGAGAAAGTTACAAGAAGGGTTGAACTCAAACGCATTAGAAGATTAGGAAGCAATGCTAGTGCCCTTTCAAACAGTAGAAAATAATGAATTCCATGCTACTGCATAGTTTCTTTTGCTATCCTTCTTCATTCTCCTTCTGTTCTCTCTTAGAAAGCTGCATTTCGTATTGTTTAATCTGCACAAAGAAGTAATTTCTTGAGTTAGTAATGCTCTTCTGCTTAACAATTAAGTTGCTACCAGATAGACACAAAGATTGTGAATTGCCATTGAATTGATCTAACTCACATACTTTCTCTGGCAGTGGTGCAAAGCATTTACTCAAGATCCCCTGGTATGGATGGTTCATACCCTCTGTTGACACCCTATGATGTTGTGGGCATGCAAGGTCCTCCTCCAGTGCTATGGATGAACGTCGAGGTCCTTTCCTTGCTCTTTTATTTTCATTTAACTGACACTAATTAATGGTAAAGTTAACACAAGCAGAATTCAAAATACACCAAGAATCAATCACGAATTTTAGAGGAGTCGTCCATAAATTTTTGGGATTTCTTTGTTTTTCACAATTTGGATTTGATGTTGTTGCAATTTTGTGCTGCAGTATCCTAGTTTCTACGACGGACTGAAACTCAGCGCATCAGCATTTATTATAGATACCATGAGAGACTTGAATCCTGCATACATTTCATCACCAGAGATTGGATTCTTGAAGGGCTTAGTAGGAAAGGTGAACCCAGCAAAGCTCATTTTTAAGATTCCGGGCATAAACGAAGTTGAACCTACAACGAAAAAAACATATGTTACACTGCTGTCAGACATAAATATGATCAAGACATTTGCATCCGGGATTATTCTTCCAAAAGATAGCATATGGCCCGTAGATAGTGGAAGGCTATTGCTGCCTGCTACGAGTTCTGTATCTGATTTCCACAAAGCAGGTCTTGAAGTGTATGCTTCTGGCTTTGCAAATGATAACTACTTAAGTTATAATTATAGCTATGATCCAACCAAGGAGTATCTGCAGTTTATAGACAATTCTCAGTTTTCGGTTGACGGGGTAATTACGGATTTCCCTGCCACCGCATCAGAGTCCATTGGTGAGATTTATGCTTTTTCTCTGCTCCATTCCTATAATATATTTCTCAATGAGTCAAAAGGAAGAGTACTGCAAAACCTATCAAAAAGTCAAACTGACTGAAACTGTCTCAAAATTTTACATTAGCTTTCTTCCTTGGTTTTACCTGATCTAGTTCTGACCTGAGAACTGCTCATGTTGCAGCATGCCTAGCCCAGAACAAGAATGCTCCCAAAATTGTAAAAGGTAAGAAGTGTTACACTTTGTATCGTTTCATAGTCTTGGAAAACAAAATTATGCAATCTATTGCTGCATGGAATAACTCGTTGTCTTCTTGCATTAAAGCATTGATAATATCTCACGACGGAGCAAGTGGAGATTACCCTGGGTCGACTGATCTTGCATACCAGAAAGCCATAGATGATGGAACCGAGATAATCGATTGTTCTGTTCAACTGTCCAAGGATGGAACCGCCTTCTGCTTGCCTTCTGCTGATCTTATAGGGACAACCACTGCAGCATCTCTTTTCATGGACCGATCTACCAGGATACCTGAAATTCAAGATAAGAATGGAATATTCTCCTTTGATCTCACTTGGACTGAAATTCAATCACTAAAACGTAAGCAAAACGCTTTATTTAATAGTAAAATGGTTATGACACCTTTTCAAGCTTTTGACATATGATGCTTTTCTCCCTTTTCAGCTCAACTTGCAAGCGTTTTTGATGGCCCTCTTGCTCGAAACCCTGCAAACAAGAATGCAGGAAAGTTCGTTACTCTTAATGAATTCTTGGATCTTGCTAAGAATAGGGCAGTTACAGGAGTTCTAATTAACATTGAAGTAAGATTCACTTCACTTCAAACTCTTTCATGGACTCCATTTGTCAAGATATATTTTAATTTCCAGGTTCCTTGTAAAACGTTTTACATATCCCACGTCTCATGTAACATCATGATTATACTATACTCTTCAACCGTGCACAAGTTAATTAACACTTGATCTTTTAATCAGAATGCTGCCTATCTAGCATCAAACAAGGGTCTTGACATTGTTGGTGCTGTCACCACTGCCTTGAGCAACGCCACAATGGATAAGCAATCTACTCAGAAAGTTTTGATTCAGTCAGATGACAGTTCAGTGCTTTCGAAGTTCCAGGACATCAAGACTTACCAAAGAGTCTTGGCCATCGACAAAGATATAGGTGGTTCAACCCAAGAAACAGCACAGGAAGTCAAAAAATATGCTGATGCTGTTAAAGTGTTCAGAAATTCTATTGTTCTGGACTATCCAAACCCCGTCTTCATGTCCTTGAATTACAGCAACCTTGTTGAAGTCATGCATGCTGCCAACATCTCGGTGTATGTGGGAATTCTGAGAAATGAGTTCCAAAACTTTTTATTTGATTACTACGCTGATCCTTATGTCGAACTCGCCACTCTTACTCAGAAAGGAGTGGATGGAATCGTAACTGACTACCCTGCCACAGCAAATGCATACATGAGTAAGCATTTTTATTTATCAATTTACATAAGCAAGTTTTACTACCACTTAAGCATTTTTAGGAATTTATCAAGGCCACCATATGGTTTCTTTTCTTCTATTTTTTGGCCTAACCTGGAAATCATCTCTATCATGATACATCTATTACTGAAGTATGGAAGAGAAATTTCCTCTGATCTCTACAATGAAATTAAATGAGCAACCAGAAGAACTGTTTTGAGGGGAAAAAATGTTTGTTGAATTTTCATAGAGAATTGTTAGAAATAGAGACATTACCACTAGCCAGACAACGAAAAAAAAAAAAAACAATGACCACTCTATGACAAATACGTGATTGCTGCACTACAGAAGAGCTCTAGATGAGCATAAAGAAGACACATGTTATTATTTTCTTCAACACAATACATGCCTAGCTTACAAACGGTAACTTGCTGTCCTTTGCTGCTGCAGGGTCCCCATGTTCCAATCCAAATGCCAATCTTCCATATACAATACTACCCATCAATCCAGGTGACATGTTTAACAATCTGGTTACAGCAAAACCTCCAGAGGCTGCACCCGCTGTACCTCTCCTTCAAAATGCAGATGTCGATGATCCTGCACTGCCTCCTGTAGCCAAGATTTCAGCTCCTCCACCCGCATCCCCTTCTGAATCTGGCTCTAACTCTCTTCCTGCTCCAGCACCCAAAAAATCAAGAAGCACGAAAACTGCTAGCAACACAGGTCTCATGGTTGCAGCAATGGTTGCAGTACTTACAATTCTCAGCTATAATAGCAAAGTTTATTAATAGGCATATCCACATTTACAAACACCAGTGTTCACCCTGTCACCGGGAAATATTGCAGGTTTTTTTTTAGGTGGATGTATTAGTACTGTTTGCTAAACGTTTTAGTAGGAATTTTTCGTGCTAATGATCATTGATTCCACTGACAAGAATAAGTTGCAGATTCTGACTTATTTGTTACTATATTGGTGCTCAACTGTAGAAGCTAATAATGAAGATTCGAGTAATTTGTTACCGGTAATTAACTTAACCAGAAATTTTTCTTACCCAAAAAAACAAAAAAGAAATTTTCGAGCGTTTAAGCTGGTAACCTGGAAATCAAAGGCAAGTTAGATATCTTGATTAAAAGCATATTCTAATTCAAGGAGTAATTTTTATCCTCAGACTCTGCTACAATCTTCTTGCGACGCTCAAGTTAGCCAGCAATTAATTACAAAATATCAGTCTAAAGAATGCAGTTTTGCAGAACTGACAAGTAACTACAGAAAATTAATACCTTCCAGTAGTATTAAATTTCTTTTCACATCATATTTTTGGCAATCCTCGATGCCAACGATTTCCATCCGGCAAAACTTTAATCCTTAAGAATACACAAATTGCAATCAAAAGCCACAAAGTATATTGTAAACTAAATCGTAAAAGAACATATATTCCGTCAACAGATTTTCTAACCAAAAGACAGAAAATGGGGATAAAAGGAAAAAAGCTATGTTGCTTGCTTCTGTTTCAAAAGGAAGATTCCCAGCTACAGATCCAGAATATAGCTGCAAATTGAACGAAAAGAATAAGAAAAATTCTATGAGGTTGTGGGTTCATTATTAAAGCTGAGTGAAAAAAGGAGGCTCAGATTGGAGTCTGACATCAAGACAGGCTAAACCCGCTATGGCTGCAAACAACAGTTGCCGCATGAGAGAAATCAGACAAAGAACCCAAAAGGAAAAATGAACCAAAAGTGCCCAATTTTCCTTTTGAGCCCTCTGCATATCCCTCACAGACCCTCCAGAGTTCACCAAGCCAAGAAAAGCTCAAAATCTTGATTTCTATTTAGTTTCGTATTGATAACAAACAAAAAAAAAAAATCATCACAGCCTCAGATAAGCAGTTGGGAAAGAGGAGGAAAGGGAATGAAACCATGATCCCACCAGTCTCTCTCTATCCATCCATCTATATATACATATATACATATATTTGTGTATCCACTGTTTGTATGTGTGTATGTTTGGATTTGAAGGGTGGTTTTTTTTTCCTTCATTTTTAGTTGAAATCATTGGCTGATTTACAGAGAGGGGTAACCACCCTTGACAAACTCCATGCCTCTCTGAGTTTAGCCTCATTCTTAAACTAATAATGAGATGCTGAATCTAGGGTCTGCTCTCTCTGCTTCAATGCCAACTTTATAGTAGTGTCTCCGCGGGCTACAGAGTCCGTCCTGTTATGTCCTTTCCAACCCTTTGTCTTGGAGGACACAGACGGTAATTCAGTCATCATGAAAACTTAAAAAGGAAAGAAAAGAAAATTAAAAATAAATAGTCTCGACCTCAATGAAAACCCTAAAAATGGAGGCTCAGATTCGCCTTTGATCAGACAAATTGGTAAAAATTGCTAAAACCACCAATAGACCATGGCTGCAAAGCAACAGTTGCCATTTTTTTTTTGCCAGAAACTCAACAAAATTTGACCATCTGAGCTGTGCCCTGCCAAGTTATGGTATTAGCTATTTTCAGAGTCTGAGACTTCTTTCCAAGTCCACAAACCTATTCATCACAGCCTCGTCCGTATCGAACTACTGAGAGAGAGAGAGAGAGAGACGTAAACAATAGCTAAAAATGTTCAAGGACCATTTTGCAGCCTGCATTTTCCGAAGGGCGGTTGTGAAAATAGGAGCTTCATTGCTTTTTTTGAGATCATCGGCGGAGATACGCGGGAAAGAGAGGGGCAACCACCCTCACGAACTCCATTTACCTCTCTTCCGGCGAGATTGCTCTCCGCCTCAGTCTTAAACTAATGAGATTTTTGCTTTTTTTTTTTTTTTGAGATCCGGTATGGTTGTTTCTTTTATAGCACTAGTTTCAGGCCTTTCGTGGGCCTTTGCTCGTTTCACCGATGAAGCCCTAAACAAATTATACCATTTTAGCCCAGCAAATGAAGCCCAAGTATCTGCCAAATGAAAGCCTAAAGTAGTGATGTGTGAGCTTTTAGATTTTTTGGTATGTAAGATGCTATTTGGGGGATGAGGTCCTTGAGGAGGAAACAAAAGAACAGGTTAATTGAGTTATGAGAGAAAAAATTTTATTCTTTTTCTCATTGAGAGGTTCTGAACCAAGTAAAATGATTTGACCTCGTTGGTTATTTCGAGATTAAGGATTCCTTTAATAAAACTGAAGTCTGAAATTTGAAATCTGAATCTATTAAATTATTAAATTGTTAAATATTAAATCCGATACATTTGAATATATATCGCATTAAATAATAAATTGTTATCACTTATTTTTTTTTAAAAAATTATTATCACTTATTTTTTGAAGCAAATTTTGCTTAGAAAATTCAGTGTCACTTAATTAATTCAGATATTCAATTTTTAATTATCAAACGACTTTGAACATATTAAAATCCGAAGTCATTAAAATAAAATATTAAATTGAATTATCAAACAGAACCTAAGTTCTCTTAAATGAATCAAACTATTGCTCCTCTTGTTCTTTATTATAATTTTGGCCTTACTTAAAATAAGAAGAAAGATCCAACACTATTTAAGTTGCTAATCCGTCCATTTAAAGGTTTATGGGCTGATTCTAGTGTTTTCCACTTCCATGGAGATCCGCATGAATTTTGGCGTTAATTTTTTTTTTCTTGTAACTTACAGAAACAGGAATACACTGTTGAGCAAATCAAAACAGATTAGTAAGTAAAAAATTGAACTTTCATTATGTTTAAACGCTGTTCTTCATTGTCTTGAGCAACATTCTCTTAATTGCGTGTAAGAAGTGAAACGTCGAGGAACATTTTGGATGTTTTTGTGTTTTTTGTTGCAAGGCCTTTTGGTGGTAGGCAGTGATTTTTTATTTTTCTATTTTTTCTTTTTGGCAAATTACAAGTGTATTTGGATAGATTATTATTTAAAATAATTATTATAATATTTTTTCTAATGTGATGTATATGAAATAAAAGAATAATTAAAAATATTAAAAAAATAAATTAAAAAATATATTTACAATGCAAATAAAATAGGGATAATTGCAGAAACCTCCCCTGACTTTTATAGTAATAGCATTGACCTCCCCTATCAATTTAAAAATAGCACTGACCTCCCCTATCAAAAGTTGGAGGCAATTTAATAAGCAAAAATGGATCAATTTACTAAAGTACCCCTGACATGATTTAATTTTACCAAATGAATGTGATGAGTACTTCTATCAAACCCAACAAAACATTTGTTAATAAAAATTACACTAAATTAACTATTTCTACATAGTTTAACTAATTAATTAAATAACTAATAATCTAATTAATTAATAACTAATTATCTAATTAACTATTAACTAATTATCTAATTGTTAAAAGTTATTAACTAATCAAACTATTTCTACATAAACTAATCAAACTATTTCTACATAATTAAACAAATTAACTATTAACTAATTATCTAATTAACTATTAACTAATTAACTAATTACCTAATTAATTAATTAACTAATTAACTAATTTCTGTTTATCTAATTAACTAATCTCTATTTATCAAATTAACTAAAGCTGTTGTCTGTCCGAAACTAATAAACTATTTGCATGTTAAACTAATTAACTAATTAGCTGCTTAACTAATTAACTACCTAATTATCTAATTAACTAATTTTTGTTTATCTAATTAACTAATTATCTAATTAACTAAAGTTGTTATCTATCCGAAACTAACAAACTATTTGCATGTTAAACTAATTAACTAATTAACTGCTTAGCTAATTAACTAATTAACTAAAGCTGTTGTCTATCCTAAACTAACAAACTTAGCATGTTAAACTAATTAACAAATTAATTGCTTAACTAATTAACTAACTAATTATCCAATTAATTAATTAACTAATTTTTGTTTATCTAATTATCTAATTAACTAAATTTGTTGTCTATCCGAAACTAACAAACTATTTGCATGTTAAACTAATTAACTAATTAACTGCTTAACTAATTAACTAATTAACTAAAGCTGTTGTCTGTCCGAAACTAACAAACTATTTGCATGTTAAACTAATTAACTACTTAACTAATTAACTAACTAATTATCTAATTAATTAATTAACTACTTAACTAACTAATTATCTAATTAACTAATTAACTAATTTTTGTTTATCTAATTAACTAATTAACTAAAGCTGTTGTCTATCCGAAACTAACAAACTATTTGCATGTTAAACTAATTAACTAATTAATTGCTTAACTAATTAACTAACTAATTATCTAATTAATTAATTAACTAATTTACTAATTTGTATTTATCTAATTAACTAAAGCTATTGTCTGTTCGAAACTAACAAACTATTTGCATGTTAAACTAATTAACTAATTAACTGCTTAACTAATTAATTAATTAATTAGCTAACTAATTAACAAACTATTTGCATGTTAAACTATATGCAGTACGCATTACCTATTTAAAGTATCGGTTCTTTATAGGTATTTTACTTTCAAACATTTAATTTATGATAAAAATATCAATGTTTGTAAGTAAAATTCAAAAAGTGTTACAAAAAATATCAATATTCTTACTTTCAAACATTTAATTTATGGCCCTATACCCCTCCCGTTTTGTAAGAATATTATTGTAACACTTTTTGAATTTTACTTACAAACATTGACGTTTTTATCATAAATAAAATGTTTGAAAGTAAAATACCCATAAAGAGCCGATACTTTAAATAGCTAAGGCGTACTGCATATAGTTTAACATGCAAATAGTCTGTTAATTAGTTAGTTAGTTAATTAGTTAATTAGTTTAACATGCAAATAGTTTGTTAGTTTCAGACAGACAATAACTTTAGTTAATTAGTTAATTAGATAAATAGAAATTAATTAATTAGTTAATTAATTAATTAGATAATTAGTTAATAATTAATCAAATAATTAGTTAATAGTTAATTAGTTTAACAATTAACTAATTAGATAA